GAGGTGCCAAACGCTTGGAAGTGCCATGGGAGGTGCTGAAATTCCACCTCAAGTGGGACAGCTTCTGGCTGAGCATCATCTCTGCTAGCAGGAGAAAGTTGGTCTGCTCACACCAGCCTGACAGCTCATTAAAATAATAAATTGATGATGGTAATTAAGCAGTGACCTTCATTTGATTCTAATCTCCTTAGTGTGTGTGCAACAGCCAAAGTTGTTTTGGCTCTTCAGCCATCTGTAACAGGCAGGAGGGTGCTGGAAACAGCCAGCAGCACTCCTTGCTCGGGGAGCTGTGACATGGGACAGGCCCAGGCGTGGGCTCTTCATCCCCAGCTGCTTTTAGCACACATTTGTGTCCCGTTACTGGACTTTTGGCTTTGGGTTCTTTTTCCCTTTGAACTGAAGATTGACCAGAGGGAGGCAGTTTTCTCTCGTTCGGTCTCAGTTGTTTATTTTTCCTTCTCAGCATTACAAGGTACAAGGAGCTGTGTGCACTATGATAGAAAAGGGTAAAATGGCCAACAAAAATCTTCTTCAAGGTCTTTTATATGTCCATTTACCCAATTAACAGGTGCCAACTAAATTATTTTCCTTAGTGACCCAGTGACCCAACACCTGAGCGCTGCACTGTGGCATTTTCTACCCAATCACTTAAAACCACCCAAAAACCCTTAGGAGAAGAACATGAAGAAGAAGGACAAGAGACAACACCCCAAATCCTCCATCCTGTCTCCTGTTCTCTAAACTAACTTTTTCACCCAGTGATTTAAAAAACTTTCTAATCTACACACTTACACTTTTCCTATCTAACTTTAACATTTGTTCTCATGTATCACCATGAAAACATGCTCATGAATTTCATGTTATATGAAATTCAGTGGTTTTTTGAATCTTATAACTAAATATTAGAATCAAGGGCACACACTCTGTATCTCAGACTCCAACACATTTGTTGTGTTTCCTTTACAAATGTGTCCCTTGTGAAGCAGGGAAATGCCACCAAATTCAGTGATTTTCCACAGGGTGGGGAGGAGAGACCCACAGGGGCTGATTTGGGACCAGGATTGGCTCAAGGGACAGGGAAAATCTAAAATATTTTGCTTTTCACTGGGTGGTGGGCTTGGCTCAGCTGGGAGAAATTCAGGATCCAGTTGGAATTCAGTCTTTGTGGTTTTAGAAGGTTTTTGGTTTGAGTTTGGCACAGCTGCTGGAGATCCTTTCACTTTGGAAAAACTGTAATTTTCAGGGCTGGAAGTCATGGGGGAGCCTGAGCTTCCTGCAGAGGGTTAATCTCTTAATTATTATTGCAAATGAGCTTTACAGCATTGCCACGTCCTGAGCGTGACCTGCTGCCCAGTCCTGGCACCTGGCAAAGCCTTGACTCTTCTAAGAGGAGTTCAAAAAACCCCAAATCAACCCAAACTAAGAGAAGAGCCCCAAAAACTTGGCGATTTCCCAGGAGTGTCAGGTGGGTTTTTGTTTTCCCCACTCTTTGCTTTGCCAGGATTCAAATATTAATGTTGAAGGGCTCTCCCAGCACCGTGGGGAGGAATTGCCATCACAGCAGATCTGATCTAGGGAATATTTTTGGTGTGGTTCAGCCAAAAACTGCATGCAGTGATTTTAAATGAAACATTGCAGGCAGGGGAGGGGTCTGTGTTCCATTTTGTGGGTTCATGGCCAGTTTTCCCTCCCGAGGCAATAAAGCTCTTTATGTCAATCTGCACCTTCTGTCCTGCCCAGGTTAACCCTTGGATCTGCTTAAGAGATGAGCTTTGAAAGGAGTTTTTAGTGCCTCACAGGCAGTTTGGTACCTCCTGAAGGCTTTTTTTGTGCAGCCTGTGGTAGCATAGGGGCAGATTTTCCTGTAGGAAGAACCTTTGTGCTCCAGTGGATGTTTTTATTTGTGGTGAAGGTTCCAGAGCAGGAAGAAAAAGAGCATTGCTTTGTAGATCTCCATATCTCTGATGGGTTTGATCTTTTTTCCCCCGTGAGCTTTGAAATGCATCCTGATTTATTTAAACGAAATAGCAGCGACCTTGGCAAAAAGGGAGAATGTGCTGGGAGGTCCTGGAAGCGTGAGCAGGTGATGTTGTGTCACACCAGACACCGGAGTGATGGCTTCAAGGCTGGAGGGAGCTTTTTTGCTGGGGAAAAGGCAAATGTTGAAGGTGCAGAGTGGCCTGGCCCTGGCCAGGAGGTTTTTTTCCTGCTGAACTTGAACCTGGGCTGTCTCCTGCCCTTTCTGTGAGTCCTGATCTTATCTCCAGCACTGTGAACCCCTGGCAGCTCTTGGCCTTGGGTGTTAAACACGTGCACTGGAGACAGTTTGGTGCGGAAAGGTGAACTTTAATCGGAGTCCTGATGGAAATTTCACTTCCAGCCTTTCTGTTTGATCCCAGCCTGCTGCTGATGGGTTGTACTGAGTGTCCCTGCCCGATGCTGGGTGGGTTTTATCTCTTTCTCCAGGACTTTTCAGCTCCTGAGGAGCTGGGTTTGCTCTGCAGGGCTGTAAAAATGCCTGACTCACGTGGTGAACACGGGGGATGATGAGGAAAGGTTTCTTTAGGTAGCCTCAGTTCATCTGCTTCTCTTTGACACTCCTGCCTGCAGAACCAAAGCATCCCAGAAATCTCTGATGATCACCTGTGCCATTAATTTTAATTGCTGTAGAAGCAAGAAGAGGTGGGCGATTTGTTCTCCTGGCTTTTCTTGGACCAGCCCCTCCTGACACAAACCCTCCCTCTCTTAGGGAAAAGCAGCAGTGAGGGGTTTTTGTGTGTGAATTGGGAGTTGTCTCTTTGGGAATTGTTATTTTAGCTATAGTGTGTCAGCTCTCAGCAGTGGATGGATCCAAGGCAAGCTTTGCTTGTGTCCTGCAGAATTTCCAGCAGCAATTCCCAAGGAGTGATCCAGGCCTGCTGTTGTGCAGTGCCTTGTCTTTTCCCCCTGGAGATGCTGGTTAATTATAAAATAATAAATATAAATATATATATAAATAAATATAAAAAATAACCCTAAGCAGCTTAGGGTGCCAGAGCACCTCAGAGCTGATCCTGTGCCTGGAAGCTTCCCTGGCTCCAGATTTATTGGCCCTGGCTTAGGGAGGTGTCCTGCTGCCCTTTCCCTTCCCAATCCCAGAGGATAAAGCTGCCAGACTAAACCTCGCCTGTCTCCATCTCTGATTTTCTTGGAGGATAAAATACGTCTGCAGTGACAGAAAAAAGGCAGATTCTTTTCTCTTTGTTCTTGTGTGCTAGGAACAAAAAAAACCCTCTACAGTGAAAGCAAACAAAACCTCCAAAAATCCCAGCTGAGACCCTCCCCAGTTCCCCCAAACCTTTAACCTTTAACCTGTCTCCTCTCTGCCCTGAGCTTCTCCTCAAAGAGGAGCTCTGGGCTTATTGTCAAAATGGGAATATCAGGTTTTTTCCAGAGAAAAGCAGTGATATTCAAACCAGTCTTCTCCTTCAGTCTTCAAGTGAGAAATAATTAATTATGCTACCTTAATATTTACTCTCATAAACAAATGTTAACCCTGATTTGCAGGCGCTGCTTTCCATCCCATCTTGATTTAATTAATGCTTCAAGGGATCTCAGTGCCCAAATGGTCTTTTTCATGTAACTTTTCATGGGATACCTGCATTCACCTTTGAAAGATTTCATATTTCTTTCACCTCAAGGAAGCAGAATTTTCCAGCAAGTGAGCAATTAACAGCTATTAAGAGGTTCTAAAATACTAGCATTCATATATTAGTACAGTCCTAAATTCCCCTCAGCAGAAGAGTCTTTCTCAAGTTCAGTTATTATTGCAATTACAGTAGACAGGAGCTGCTGGCATTTCCTGAGCAGCATCTGCAAGGGAGAAGGAAAAACCCAAGTTTTGCTTCTTTTTTTCCAATCCAAACCTGTGTTTTATGAGTGTCTGTGAGCTGTGTTTCCACCTCAGGGCTCAGCTGAACCCATCATTAACTTGCTTTTTGGAGTAACACCAGTGTGAGTGGGTTCTGCTGCTGGGATGGATGCAGGAAACTCCACTTTTTGTGCTTTTCAAGGGACCACTTTTCATGTTCTGTCCTGTATTTTCTGTATTTTCACCTGTACCTGACCCGCTTTCACCTGCAGGTGTTGGCAGCTGCATTCTCTGTTTGAAGCTCAGTAACCACAGGTTGCAAAATCTGGTTTGCTGCAGGATTTTCTGTGCTGTCCTGTGGGGAGTTCAGGTTCAAAAGATGTTCTTTTGAACATCTTAATTCCTGTTCTTTTGTCTTAAAAAGGGAAAATGTGGGATGATACTGGAATGGCTGCTCTGATTTAAGGAGGAAATACAGGAAAATTGTACTGTAGTGACCCATCTGGGAAAACAAGAGACCCACTAAAGATATTTCTGTCTCGTCTTTCCTGTGCCAAAAGGGAAGTGAAACTCATTCGAATACAGAGTTTATCCTCAAACAGTTCCTTCAGCATCCTGGGGCAGATTACTTGGAAAGTTCTTCGTACAGCTGGGAATTTGGGGGTGATTTTGGGTTAGGATGTTCAGCAGAAAGGGCTGTTTCTGTCTGAATTCCCCGGTCTTTTTTACTTCAAGGTAAGGACTCAGTAATATGGGGGTAATCCTGGGGCAGCTCTGCAAATGTACCCTCCTTGGAGAAGCCCAAGTTTCATTTTTGCTGGATGTTCTGCACTGCTCTGGAGTTTATTCCTCAAAACTTCTGTGGAAATGGCTCTGAGATTGGAAAAAAACTAAGGTTTCAATGTACTGCTAATGACTGGAAAACACAGGAGAAGAATGAGGGAATAATCAGAGTATTCCCAGTATGAAAGAATTTCAGGTAGCTTGACTGGTAATTACGAATTTCAGATAGCTTGACTGATAATTATCAGGGAGGAATGATGAGAGTTGGTGAGTCACGAGCACGAAAGGGAGCCCAGGCTGTGGGGCTTGTGCTTTTCCTCATCTCTTTTAGGGAATAAGAAATATAAATTTCTCCCTTCGCTCCTAGGAGCTGTTGATGGGAGCGACACCCTGACGTGCCAGCTGGATTCCTGAGCTCCTGTGTGACTGCTGGAGCTGCTGCTGTTGGAATAAGGAGCTGTCCTCAGTTCTTGGCCTGGCCCAGAGGCACCTCCTGGGTGCTGCATGCAAGTCCTGGACGTGCTGGAAACGATGGGGATTGGCAAGAACACCACGTCCAAATCCGTGGAGGCAGGAGGCTCCACGGAGGCCAAATACGAGGATGAGTCCAAGCACCCCACCTTCTTCACCCTGCCTGTGAGTGATTGCAGCCCTCAGGCTCTGTGTGAAGCAGGGGAAAATGTTCCAGCTGTGGGGTACAAACCCTTTATTTCCACCAGCAGCCAGAGACAAAACTCTGCTCCCCTGAGTATTTGTGTATTCCCAGGACGTGCAGCAGCCCAGGCACTGCACTGGATTGTCCTCCTCCAGCAGAATCATGGAATCACTGAGGTTGGAAAAGACCTCCAGGATGGTCAGGTCCAACCTGTGACCAATTCCCACCAAAAATCATCAAGTGTCACCTCTGCTCCGGTTCTGAGCAGCTCCAGGCATGGGGACACCAGCACAGCCCTGGGCAGCAGTGCCAGTGCTTAACAACAGCGCAGAAATATTCCCCATGTCCACCCTGAGGCTGTTCCCTCTCCTGCTGTCCCTGTTCCCTGGGATAAGATCCCAAATCCCCCCCATCAGGCTGTCCCCTCCTGCCAGGGACTTGTGCAGAGCCAGAAATTCCCCCTGAGCCTCCTTTGCTCCAGCCTGAGCCCCTTCCCAGCTCCCTCAGGAATTCTCCAGCCCCTTCCCAGCTCCCTCAGGAATTCTCCAGCCCCTTCCCAGCTCCCTCAGGAATTCTCCAGCCCCTTCCCAGCTCCCTCAGGAATTCTCCAGCCCCTTCCCAGCTCCCTCAGGAATTCTCCAGCCCCTTCCCAGCTCCCTCAGGAATTCTCCAGCCCCTTCCCAGCTCCCTCAGGAATTCTCCAGCCCCTTCCCAGCTCCCTCAGGAATTCTCCAGCCCCTTCCCAGCTCTCTCAGGAATTCTCCAGCCCCTTCCCAGCTCCCTCAGGAATTCTCCAGCCCCTTCCCAGCTCCCTCAGGAATTCTCCAGCCCCTTCCCAGCTCCCTCAGGAATTCTCCAGCCCCTTCCCAGCTCCCTCAGGAATTCTCCAGCCCCTTCCCAGCTCCCTCAGGAATTCTCCAGCCCCTTCCCAGCTCCCTCAGGAATTCTCCAGCCCCTTCCCAGCTCCCTCAGGAATTCTCCAGCCCCTTCCCAGCTCCCTCAGGAATTCTCCAGCCCCTTCCCAGCTCCCTCAGGAATTCTCCAGCCCCTTCCCAGCTCCCTCAGGAATTCTCCAGCCCCTTCCCAGCTCTCTCAGGAATTCTCCAGCCCCTTCCCAGCTCCCTCAGCAATTCTCCAGCCCCTTCCCAGCTCCCTCAGCAATGCTCCAGCCCTTCCCAGCTCCCCCAGGCCCTCCTGGGGCTCCAGCCCCATCCCCAGCTCTGTTCCCTTCCCTGGACACACTCCAGCCCCTCAGCAGAGTTTCCTTGCCCAGCTGGGCTCACACCCAGCCCATTTTGACCACCTGAGCTGCTCAGCCCAGGCAGCAGCAGGGAGACATTTGCTGCTCTTCTGCTTACTCCCATTTTCAGTTGAATTGTTCTGCTGTAAAGCTTGAGAACTCTTCCAGCCGGCCTGCTGCTGGTTCCCCCTGCCCCAGGCTGACACTGCCCAGCTTTCCAGGAGCTCTGTGACACGTTTTTAAGGAGCTCTCGATGATATTTTTAAGGAGCTCTGAGTGATGTCTGTCAAGTCTCCCTCTGTCCCAGCCCTGCTGTTACAGAAATGATGACTTGCCACGCTCCTCGTGTTTTCTGACAAAATATCAGAGGCACCAAGGGAGAAAACTGAGTGACATACGAGTCGTGGTGGCAGAGGAAACGTTTATTTTAAAAGACCTCAAATTTTTATTCCGTTTTTCAGGTCGTCATAAACGGCGGAGCCACCTCCAGCGGCGATCAGGACACCGAGGACACGGAGCTGATGGCCATCTACACCACAGAGAATGGCATAGCAGAAAAGGTACGTGGGGCTTCCCTGCTGGCTGAGAGCTCATTCTTGCTCTCCCAGCTCGTGATTTGCCCTCAGCAGCCGCCCCAGATTGAGGTTTCCTGTCTCAGAGCTGCTGACTTGCAGATTCACATCACCCCGGGGAGTTGTGCCCTCATGACTCCCGGTCACACTCTTTGGTTGCAGCACTTGGGGCATGACTCAGGAAATGGTGGAAGAAGTTCATGCCTTTAATTTTGATTTTTCCAGCTTTTTTTCCTCCATTCTTTCATTCCTTCATTCCTTCATTCCCTCATTCCCCTTCTGTCCAAAATCCTGCAAGCAGAGATGGTATGAACCTGAGCTTTTGTTTAAAATAAGGATGAGGATTATGGTAAATCTGAGTTTCTGAAATACTCAGTCAGACTGGATTTGTAGTAAGGCCTTGTCTCTGAAAAACTTCAACCTGACCAAAGTTCTTCAAATGTCCTGATTGAAACAAGAACAAAACTCCTGTTCCAAGCAGGGGCAGGATGATGCTCCTTCCTTCAAGGGCAAGGATGACATCAAGGGATGCAGCTAATGCTTTCTAACTCAGACACCAAAACTCAGTGGTGAATTTCAGATTTAAAGCATCCCCTGAGCAGCCAGGGGTGTGTCAGTGCTGGGTCCCAGCTCCCTCTGCCCCTGTGTCTCACATTCCGTGGACAGGTTTGTGTTGACCTGGGCAAGTTCCTGATGGCTGATTTTTGGAGCATGCTGGGGCTGGAGTGGAGAGGCACAATCTGATAAAAGCCTTGAGTAAAAGGTGTTTGGGTGGGATTGTGCAACGAGATAAACGATCGCCAGACGCGCAGCTTCACCAAGTGTGCTTTTCTCCCTTCCACTTGATCCCTGTGATCACACCTGGGGGTGATGGAGAATAATCCACCTAAAGCAGACCAGGAGCTTCTGATTAACCAGCTCTCCTCGAGTTAAAGCTTTGCTGTGGCTCCCAGTGAAGGAACAGGGGTGGCACAGGATCCCTGGGGCTGCCCCTGCATCCCTGGAAGTGCCCAAGGCCAGCTTGGACAGGGCTTGGAGCCACCTGGGGGTGGTGGGAGGTGTCCCTGCCCATGGCAGGGGTGGCACTGGGCCTTAAGGTCTTTGCAAGCCAGGCTGGATGTCAGCAGGAATTTTTTTATGGATTGGAAGGGGCG